TGTCAATCTCTACTATAGTTTCCATAATGTCCTTATTTTCTTCCACAAACAATAAAATGTGCTCAAATTCATCGTCGCATATAGCTACGTCAATGTCATTTCTGTAAATATCTCTTAATGTTTATTGTTTTCTGTTCTTTTGATATTTCTGAATAAAACAATACATTAAAAAGCTCTGCAACCACTTCATATGTTTAAACTCTTAGATATAGCTCAATTTTATTACACATAAAACGAGTTTACTATAAAATTTTCTAATAGTGTAAATTTACGGTCGACTTCAATTCACCAAAGTATAGTTTCCTCTTTTGTTGTCTGCGTGATTGCTCCTCTTCTATGTTGAATTAAAGACCTAATAATTCAGTTGTTTTTTTTTTCAAATTTTTTAAAGCCTTGTCTGAAGTTATCGATAAAGGCTTCCAAAGACTTTAAAAATTGGAAACCTTTCTTTAAATCACATTCCTTTGATTAAAGCGATTTCATTATTTTAGTACTGTTAATATTGTTATTAATGATACTCAAATAAATATTCACTTTTATTAGTATTATTAATATTTTTATAAATATTATTTTTATTACATATAAATGATCATTATGATCATTTATTTTCGTATTAATAACATAATCATTAATAATATTTTTATTATATATTAATTTTTAATGTAATGAAAAGTAAATATACATCTTGTTGTTGTTAAATTACATCAAAAAGTTCTTTTCTACGGTTTCATGCTTTTTTTTGTTTGTTGCTGTTGTTTTGTTGTTACTTTTTTTTTTTTTTTTTTTTTTTTACTGTTTTTTTTTTTCAGATAAAAAAACTGATATTTATCGGAACTCTAATTCCATCTACAAAATCAAAAGTAACTATTTGATCAACATATAGTTAAATGTAATTGGAACATGACTGTTAGGAATGACGTCATTTAAACAATTTATATCTTGAAAATTAGTTCATTAATATCCTAACTTAAATTTTTTTAGTCTTTTTAAGCTTCTAATAATTAAGTAGTAATAAAAATGCATCGTAATATAGACAACATCGAGATATTAAATTCTCCTCAAGTATATCAAAAGCGTTAGCAGTCTTTTCAAACAGAGAGCGAAAAAAATTTATTTAATATAGATTACTATTCTAAAAACGATAATGTGCTGATTAAAGATTTAATTTTATTAAGTAATGAAGAAAATACTACATGATTTTATACTAACAAAATAAGAATCTAACAAAATAAAAGCTAAACACTGAGTTTTTTTTGATCAAGAAACAAACTCAGTGTTTAGCTTTTATTTTGTTAGATTCGTCAGTTTATTTGAAAAATATTATTCAAATGTTAATAACATTTTTCAAATTTATTAACATTTTATTAACAATGTTAACAATAATATACTAGTTAATGATTTGATTTTATAAATCAAAAAATGGAAATACTACATTATTTTATTTTAATGGAAATACTACATTATTAAGTCTGAATTTTACAAAATAATTACTAAACGTTGAGTTAGTTTTAACTTTGAAAAACACGGCCTTGCTTTGAAAACTCTCCGGTTTTTTTCACTCCCTTGCGGCTAGATTGCATTGTGGCATAATTTATGACAAAATAAAACGTTCGTTGTCGGAACGGATAAGTGGAAAAAATGTAGGATAAAAGTAACCAGCAACAAAAATGTTATCTATCGACGAACGTCGTAACAAAGAAAATATAAATCGAAACACGCATAAATATAATAAAAGGAAACTAAAAACATTTTACTTTCTGGAGACAAAATCCAGAAAAAAAAATCAATAAGTGTTTGCGGTCTCCCTCTGACTATCTCATAAACTTCATTTTTAAAATGTAATACAAGAATGTTCAAGAAAATACTTTGACAGTCTTTTTAAGGCCACTTACTAGGTCCCCCGCGGCTGCTTATTCAACGTACCTTATAATCCACCACTGAACAACAGCATTAGCACCATCACCAGCAATGTCTCATGAAATAAAATTAAACATGTTTTGCAGAATATGTCGAAAAAGTTTTGGAGATGTCAATGCTTTTATTTAATATAATATCTTATTAGAGTAGAATGTTTTTTTTTTAACCGAATCAACGACGACCACACAAATACGCACCCACAAAAAATGTGTTTTAGATTCTTTTTAATATTGAGAAAAACTAAGAACGTTATGCAGAACATGTGGATATTGAAAAAGTTTCAAACACTAACAACCTAAAAATAGAACCTTGGTCTAACAATTGCAATCTAAAAGTAGAACCTTGGTCTCACAATTTAATCTAAAAGTAGAGCCTTGGTCTGACAATTGAAATCTAAAAGTAGAACCTTGGTCTGACAATTGCAATCTAAAAGTAAAACATTGGTCTGAAAATTGCAATTTAAAAGTAGAACCTTGGTCTGACAATTGCAATCTAAAAGAATGTCTTTGTTTTAAAGCGAATAAAGGAAAGAAAAAAAAGAAAATGATAATTGGAAGACCTTTAAGTAATTTCAATGAAAAAATTTGGACTCGACGCACAATAAATAATATTCAATAAATTTAAACTTTTAACTTAATTAACAAGATATTAACCACATCTTAAAACCGCATGTGCATCTTAATGCGGGTAATATTGTAGATTGTATTTGTAGTATTTAAGATTAAATGCTCTAAATGCTCCTTTTCAATTCAAAGTGATGGGTT